TCCTAACAGTGTCTAATTAATCAGCTAAAGTAGTCCTCTCTACTCCGGATCACATGCTAGTTGCTAGTATACAACTGACAGATCCAATATCTGTTTAATCTTTTATAATTGAGTGAATCCAGGAAGTGTTTTTCATTTCAGCCTTGTTTTTCTGCAGTTATCTCTGAAAACATTATGAAATGCAATAATGCATACCTGTATTTCAGTGCTGTGGCAGTGTGGTCATGAGAGTTTGCTTGGCCTTTTTTCCCAGGGACGGATGTGGTCATAGTGAAAAGTGGGAGGCGGATCTGTGGAACTGGAGCCTGCTTTGCCAACGCCCCTCTGCACCAGAACAAGAGCTATTTTGAGTTCAAGATCCAGTCCACGGGTGAGTGCCTCCATGATAGCTGTAACTACAGAGCAGGGCCAGACTTTTCATAATGTTCTATTGTAGGTATTTTCCGTCTCACTTGAATTGTTTTTAATATTTTTCTAATGCCTGTGCAAACACTGTAGCACTTTGTAGCTGTCAGATAGAATGATTTGTTGTCTCTAAGAGGAATGTCATTGAGTGTGTTGTTGATGTAAAACAGATTTTGACCTAAATAAATCAATAAATAAAATCAGTTTTGAGAACACAACTCTAGTTAAGTAATTGAATCAATTGCAATAGCCAGAAATAAAGCATTAGACATTAAGGGATGCCATGCTTCATATGGTTAAGCAATATTTTCCCTTAATATAAAAGTTAATTTATGACAGTAACTCATATCATATTTCATGTTTCTCAACAATTTCAAAAGACAAACAAAATCATATTTTGCATAAAGACAAATCTAAAAATTATGTGATTTAGTGCCATTTAAAGTAAAAAAAAAAAAAAAATCCAAGATTATGAGATTAAAGTCATGATATTTTGAGAATAAAGTCATATTACTACTTTAATCTCATATTGCTATGACTTTATTCTTGTAATTTTGAGTGTATTCCCCAAATATTATAACTTAAATCTCATAATCTTAGATTTTTATTTTATTTTACGTGCCACTAAAATGCTGTCATAATAAAAAATAATAAAAATAAAAATAAAGTAACTTATTATTGGGACCTTATAGAAGAAATCTTTTTGCTTTGTGACATTTTTACTGCAATCATATTTCATTTACCTCCTGAATCTCTGTAATGGTCTTCAGATGGATGAGTACATGAAGGTGTGCTGCTGATTGTGTTTGTGGTGCAGGTGTTTGGGGGATCGGTGTGGCCACTCAGAAGGTGAATTTGAACCAGGTGCCACTGGGTCAAGACAGTCACAGTTTGGTGCTTAGACACGATGGCTCCATATACCACAATAATGAGGAGAAGAATCGATTACCTGCCAACAGCCTTCCTCAGGAGGGGGATATAGTGGTACGTTTTTACTTTTGGATTGTGAGCCATCAATAGCTAAATTGTGGAATACAGCAAGAACATGCTGTATAAGACATATCGCTTCTGTTCGTAAATGCGTGTCTCTGTTTTAAGGGGGTGACCTATGATCATGTGGAACTGAACTTGTACTTAAATGGAAAGAACATGCAGTGTCCAGCCTCAGGTATTCGAGGGACTGTGTTCCCCATAGTTTATGGTGAGTATTTCAGTAATATGATATATATATAATTTTATTTCTCCAATATAATGACAATATTGATATCATATATTTACGTTTCTTTAGCTTCAGTCTTGCTAAGAACTTTTTTTCAGGCTAGTTCAGCTAATGAACAGCACATTTTAAAGTAAAAACCAAAATCTTTTCCAGAACATTAATTCGCTCTTTTAATTGAAAACCGGGACTTTTGTTTCTTACAGCCACCGTTTAAGTATTGTGGTCCTTTTTTGTGCCTATTTTATGCAAACTGAAAGGATTGTTCGTCCAAAAATTGTCATCATTTACTCAACCTCATGTCTCTCCAAACCAGTATGACTTTCTTTCTACTGTCGAACAGAAAATAAATATTTTGAGAAATGCCATACAGTGGAAGTCAGTGTTAATGCAGTCACTGGGCTCCAATGTTGTTTGGTTCCATCGTTTTCAACATCTTCTTTCATGTTTTGCAGAAGAAATAAAGGTTTGTAACAGCATGAGGGAGAGCAAATGATGACAGATTTTTCATCTTTTGGTGGACTATCCCTTTAAGTTTAAAAAAGGTTAAAAGAACATTTAAGAATGTGCAGATTGTTCTTATGTTGAAGGGAACATACCATAAAGCAATAATTTAATTTTCAATACAACTTGTAAGTTTCAATACAAGTTTTAAAAAAAGGACTGAGAAAAATAGATTTTTCATGATATATTACCTATATATTGCAGAGACAAAATGTCATGAAATGACAAAGTTTATGCCATTCATTGATGTTTGTAATCTCCCCTCTCATTCCCTCAGTGGATGACAGTGCCATCATAGACTGCCAGTTCAGTGATTTCTACCATACTCCACCTGAAGGCTTTGAAAAGATTCTGTTTGAGCAGCAGATCTTTTGAATTGTCAGCTGTGTGTGCATAGTGTCGAGCTGAACTGTGTGTGGCAGCCTGTGGTTACGATCTCTTTCAATGTTGCTTCTGCCTTTGCTGTTACTATTGCTGCTCTTGTCCATTTGGAAGACAAACCAGGCTTTATTTCTGTCTGCGTGTGTGAGAATCTACAACCCAGAAAACACTTTACATAAGCACTGAAGACACTTACTGATATCTACTTTCTGTAGTGGGTGATATTGATAAACTGAGCTTATCCTTTTATTTAATGACAATGTACAATGGTCAGCAGTTGATCAGCTTTGTGTTTATTTGATTTATGTAGAAATTATTGTTGATTTATTGTTGATATATCGGCTTTCTTGAATGAAACAATTGTATTTGCACTAGTTACATGTGATTGAAAATCAAACCAAACCTCTCGTTTGTTACTGTCATTTGCCTTTCATCTGAACTAGCCATATTGATAAATTGCTAACAGTAAATAGCAGATTACAGTATTTTCCACAGTGTATTTTAACATCTTACCTCTGTGATCTCTATTGCACATATTAAATAAGTGGCTTTGGCTGAACATATTTCAGAGTCAAATAACCACTGAAACATTTCAGACATGCATGAATTTATTTAACATGATCATTTTTGCTGCCCTAACTTACATCTTACCAAACTCTTCAAATGTTAGGATGAAGGTAAAAGTTATCTTCTTTCTTCTGATGTGTTTTGCTCTGCTGATAGAAATAATTAACTTCTGCACAGTAACATTAATTACAACTATTAACCTAATTTTACTGGTTACTGCAGAAATCTTATGTCCTCTTAACACTAAAACCATTCATACAGTGGGTATAGAAAAGAATCACCCCCTTTAAAATAATCACAATGTGTTGCTTTGCAGCCCAAAATGAAGACAGGCAGTTTTTGTTTTATCCAGCTGTATTTACTCTGTGCAGCTTATAACATCCAAGTGAAAGATATAACACCAACATGTCAGAAAAAATTTAAAAAACAGAATCGGGGGGTGATTATTTTCTGTACCCACTGTACATTAATTTTATTCACAATAAAATGCACCACCAATTCTTAAGTCTTATTTTAACAGCATGGCCATGCAGCTACTCAAAGGCAATGTGCTTTTCAGAAAAGGTGCTCTGAAAAAGTTGTCCTGTAAGACTTGTCAAATCTGTTTTTCAATCCCCCAAAAAGCTTGAATTTTCTCCGTACACTGTGTCTTATGGTACATTCCACAAGTGCTGTATTTAATAAACCTAAGTATTCTGTCTCTGTGTCAAAGACCTGTTATATTGTGAAATGATGTCTTATGACCAAATAAAATATTGACAATGTACAAGCGTCTCTACAAAAATAAAGTGTTAGATTTAGTTAAAATTCTAAAGATAGATAATCTTAATATTAATTAGATTTATTAATAATAAATATAATTTTGATATGTTCTACTCATATGCCACAGAACCATTCAGCATCAGTCAGTAATATAATACGTAACCGGGATGGGTGGGTAATTCTTTGTAAACCCCCCAATGCAGACTCTTATTGTTCCCATTGTCTTGATTTCTCAGCAGGTCTAGACATTAGTAATGACAGACAAGTGGGGGTTCAGCGAACAACTTGAAAAAGCCTTTAAAAAAAAAGGCTGCTTCTAAGATCTTACATACTACTATTTTCAAGTCTTCACTGCTTTGGTGGTTCTAAAATGAAAAAAAAAAAAAAAGAATAAAAGGTAAAGGGACCCTTTTATAATAACTTTCATGAATAAGTAACACATTCTATTATATTTATTATCTAATACAGATGATAGTTAAAAATACATAAAAAAAAGTCATAAAACTATTTAATATATTTTCATGTTTATATCTGAATGTACATTAACTGATCTACTTGCATGGGTTTTATTAAAATATTTATCCAAATTAATTAACTGAAAACTGTTTAGACAAGGTTTGGACTACATTGCCTAAGTACAGTTGAAAGGACAATGACAACTGATAGTTCTGAAAGAAGCAGCTGTGAATCTATAATGAAAAGTGACCTGGTGATCCTCTTGAAGCTGTGTCAATGTGTCTGCTGCCACCTAGTGTCCATATTGGGAATGGAGTGTTTTTTTCTCTAATGAAGGCACACTAATAAAAGGTTTGACTGGCCCTTCAGGCACGTTTGTGGTTGACCTGAGGCCTCATTAGAGGTCAATTTGTTGCTGTGTGCTGATTGGCTGTTCAGTCTCCTGCTCTGAACTGTTTACAGATGAGCAAATGCTGACGATGTGAGTCTCACTTCCCCCAGTCAACAGACACAATATACACAGCATTTCTGTGTACAACAGACACATACTGCACACTCTCAGCTCCTCTTCAAAAGTGTCAAAAGCTATGTTTTAAAATACAATGCAAGATGCAAAGAACGGCATTCTGTAAAGAATGTTTCTTACTGTTTATTTAGATTATGAAAACAGAAGAATAATCATATCAAAATGACATATGTAGATATATTTCATGAGATTTCTATTACTGATAAATCTCCATTAAAAAAAAAACATCTGATGTATGCAAACTGCAGAAATGTTCTGGACTTTAAAAAAACATTTAAAAAAATGTATAAAAATGATAAAACATCTTAATTCTGTTAGATTGTTATATTAAACACCTAGTACAGCTTTGGCATCCCTCAGTGCTGCTTTTTTCCTCTGCAAATCCCTTTCCTGTTTCTCCAGGTCTGGAAACACAAAGAACAAAGTCATTCTCATGAAACAGTGCCATTTAAGTCCCCATAATAATTCTCCTTTCTAATATGTGATTCATTACAAGGCACAAAGAAATTTACTCATTTATCCATTCAAATGATAAGTATATAAATTCAAAACGTACTGTTAAGGGGTTGAAATCATGTAACACTTTAGATTTAGGTGGTTACAAATGAAATGTACCTTGTTCCAGCTGAGTAAAAATGCAAGGCAGCTGTCCAGATGCCAACAATACTTTGAGAGCAACATCATAGTCTGTGGAATATTTCATAGCCTTTCAGTTGTATAAACAAAAACCCAGCATTTTATTGAGGGTTATAGAACATAACAGGGATATTTCAGATTCAATGCGAGTTAAGCTCAGTTGATAGTGTTTGTGACAATATAACAGTATAATGATTATAGATCAGTGATCAACACACACACAAAATAAAATTAAAATTTTGACCTGTTCCTTTTTACTAAAAAAAAAAAAGGCAAATATCGATTAGGATGAGAAACCTGTAATGGAAGTTAATGTGGCAGATTTTTGGAGAATTTAAAAGCAAAAATGTGGATCTCTTCATTTAAATTACATTAATCACTTTACATTCATTTACATTAATTATTCTGTTAAAATGTGTATTATTTGAGCTGTAAAGTTGTTCTCATCTATCATATGGTTATTTTCAGGTTTTAAGCGTTACATGGCAACAACAAAGTTGTAAAATGGTATATAACGACAGAGAAAAGTTCAGTTCACTTTTTATTCCCACATTAAAACCATGTAAACACTCATATTATGTCCTGTTGCTATACTAAAGAAACAGTATTTTAACTTCCATGGATTGGCCTCCATCACTTCCATTTTAAGTTACAAACTGTAACCAAGATTTTTTGTCATAGAAGGGACAAGTCAAAAATGATTGTTTTTGATAGCAAGATTATGCCACAAATGTTGACAATTTAGCATAAAGGTGAAGTTTATAAGATATTTTTTTGTTTGTTTTTGGCATTTTTGTCTTTATTGTGATAGGACAGATCAGACATGACAGGAAGCGAATTAGGAGAGAGGGGGGGGGTCAGGAAAGGTCCTCAAGTCGGGATTCGAACACGGGACACCTGAAGCGCAATGGCGCTGTATGTCAGCACGCTGCCCACAAGGCTATCGGTGCCAATGTTTATAAGATTTTTTTGTTAAAATATCTTCTCTCAACCCATATTATCATTCATTGACTATTGTAAGTATTGCATTCAAGGGTTTATCTCCCCAAAATGCGTAAACATTGAGCCTCCCAGGCACTAAAAAACATTTAGTGTGGTCCGCTCAAATCAGTCAATGTCTTTCCAGTTCAACCTATAGCAAGAGTTTGGACTGTGGCTACTTTAGCAGACAGAGAGAGAGGCTTTATAGCCAGTGTGTGGGACCATCGCTGACACATTACATAGGTAAAGAAATTCAGATTTGGTTTGTTACCAGCAAGCCAAAATTCGAAAGCTTGCCAAAATACACAGAGACAGACAACAGGGTAAAGGCCTGTTCACACCAAGGACGATAACTATAAAGATAACGATACAGATATAGTTTTAAAAATCACTTTCAATATTAAAGAATAGCAGAGTCCACACCACAGCTATAAAGGCACAGAGAAACGCTGCTGATGAACGATAAAAACATTGACAGCCAATCAGAATCAATCAGCAATAACAAGCTTGAGAGTTTAAAGCGGCAGACGAGTGTGCGCTTGGAATAAACGGATGATATCGTCTGCTGGTGTGGACGCTAATATAGTCATCTTTATAGTTATCGTTCTTGGTGTGAACGGGCCTTAAGAGGACAGTAAACATTGGTAATGCTTTTATAAGATGGATGAATTTGATCCAATGTTTGCATTTTAGTCGAGACGTTGAACTTGCTGAAGTTTCTAAACTCAAGTTTTTGCCACTTTACCGTCAAGCCCCGGATAAAATAAGATATTGTAAGGATAAGAATAATCAGAAGAGCGTGGGTGAAAGAGGCCTTTGCAAAGGTTGTTTACGAGGTGAAACTAGTAGCGCAGAAACCGCATACTTCACCTTTAACTTGTATTGAACCTGAAATATTCCACAAAACTGGCCTGAATCAAGGCTGTTCTCACCTTGGTGGCTGGCTTCCTGTGACTGCACTCTTTCTCCTAGGCTGCTCAGCTGAGACACGAGCTCTGAGAAGACTTCTTTAGTCCACCCAGCCTCATTACATCTGGTCCAGAATATGGCAGCACTGGACTGGGATTTCTCTGTGGTACCCACATCAGAAGCATCTGCTGCAGCGGGACGACCTGGTGATGAAGAAACCCCTGCCGGAGGAGAGGGTTCTGGTAGCTGCTCAGATTTTAAGTGAGATGCTTGTACTAAGAGTGAGAGTGTTTGTACTGCAGATATTGACACTGCTGGAACGTCAACAGTGGGGCTTGAATTCGGGGGTGATCCGGGCTGACCTGTGGGACCATCGCTGGCACGGTCCTGGTTAGGCGTAGGGTCAGTGGTACCTGGTAAGACTGGGTCAGTGGTTTGAGCTCTGGGCGGTGGAGAAGTTCTGCTTGTGGATGGTGGTTCCTCTTGTTCAGGGGCAGCGATAGACCCAGGTGAGGTGTACATAGCTGCTGGGGCTGCACCGGCAGGTGAAGAAGGTTCTAGACTGTACTCTGAAACAGAGAGAGAGTGTGTTTAAATAAATCTCTGTCCAGAGCCATCGCAAGGGCTGTGCCAAGTGTGTGACCACACAGGGTCTTGCACCTCTGCAGGGCCTCGCACCAAAATAAAGTGAATAAAGCCAATAGTTTAAAAGTTCACGTTTTTGTCCTTTGAAAGACTATAATAGGCTAGCTAAAAGTCAGCTAATAGTGAGTCAGTGTGTATCATGATGCTGTATTATTCTGCTTGGTAAATATGTTATGCAGTAGCCTTGTTCAAATCCGCTACTTCTCAGGAAATGGGAAAAAACACAGTATTTTTTATATAATTGAACACTGTGTTGTCAAAGCTGATATTGTGGCTGTGTATATGGTCAGACACTTGCATGTGTCATTATTTTGTGAACATTTTACCAAAATCAAGCTCAAGTGGAATTACCAGGTTTCTAACCAGCGAATGTCAGACATCTATGTGTCTTGTCCATCTTTGGCCGCATCTGAGGCAGTCAGTGCATCGCATTACATTTTTATCAACTTACAGGTTATAAAGTTATTGTTGCTACATGGCTGCTCATTTTTTTTTCTGCCACTTGGCCAAAATCTCATGTTTTTAAAGATGTAGTGCTATGCACAGGCTATTAAGACTATACTTGCTATGCTATATGACTGACGACAAATGCTAAAAGACATTATAACCAAATAATTATAGTGTTTACTGAGTAAAGAAAATGCTGTACATATTCAAACAACCATTCTTTCTTTATTTATCCTTGCATTGCAAACGAGCAGAGAGAAGCAGTCCAGAGTGTGTGCGGCACTTCATTCAAGATTGAGTTAGTTTTAGTCGCAAGCACTTTTTAATACTTTTCATTGGTTAAATATTTGCAAAACCCACAGACATAAAGGGTGACCAACAGTAATGAATTATGAATAAATAAATAAATAAATAAATGTGCGTGTGACTGATTCTTACGCATTCTTGTCAGTGAGCAAGCACTGTCAAGTTCATAGGGAGCTTTTTAAATTCTAATTTTGGCTGCCTCTGAATGGGTCAAACCACAGATTTTACTCGAGAAGTTCAAGAAAATACGCTAGACATCCAGGCTCATTCAGGCTATGTCTGAAATGATGTGCAGCATTCAGCTGAATGATAAGGTTTACTCTTGGTTTATCTGTCCATTAGATGCGTGTGAAAGTTGTGTTCGTTACAATAGCAACACCCCCCCATTCCAGAGGGCCTCACACCCCCCTTGCGACGGCCCTGTCTATGTCCACAGATTTACGCCTCTTTGAAATGACAGCAGCAAGACAAAAGAGAAATGAACGCACCTGATTCTGCTGAGGGTCCAGAGTCCATAATAACGCTACATGGAACAGTGATATGGTACATTTCTGGTTGTAACAAACTCTGAGAATCATCCTGAGAAAGAGAGAGCAATTACACTTCTGGCTGCAGGCAAGTTATAAATAGAACTTATACTATAAGTGAGTATAATCAATAATAAGTGAGTATAATGCACTGTTCAAACTGTTTTTGCATTTTTTAAAAAGAAATTAATACTTTTATTCAGCAAGGATGCATCAAATTGATCAAAAAAGACAGGAAAGATATTTATAATGTTACAAAAGATTTCCATTTCAAATAAATGCTCTTATTTTGAACTTTCCATTCAACAAAGAATCATGAAATTTGGCAGTAAAATTGTAGCAGTAAAGCATTTCTCTTTTCACTTTTAATAGCAGTCCTCTCCTGTGCCTGAAAAAACAAGGTATGTTTAGGATTTTGAACAATTTTGAAAAAAATACAAATACAAGAATACCACAGTTTACCGTGGTATTTTGGCAAAAACTTACTATAGTAAAGTTATTTAAGGAAACTTCCCTGACTGTTTCCCTTTGTTTGCAGGCCGTGTGAAAAACTCAATCCATCAACCACAGGTACAAATGTGTTTTTGTTTTTGAAAACAAATGAACGAGAAGTATCATCATTCCTTACTGTAAAGAAACAGTTTCATTCTTTTCAGAAGCTGACGATGATGACACAGACATTGATTCAGTGAGTCTATCTGTACAGAACACATCACTCACATCACACCATAAACAAGCACATGTATTTACTGATATTTTCATGTCATTTGACAAGGGGAAACAAATCACAGCAAAAACACAAAACAAGGACACGCAAAACCCCAATGGCACCTTAGAACAAAGACATTGTTTACTGTCTACATACATATCAGTCTGATACCAATGTCAAGAAAGATCCAAGGCTTGAGGACAAATAAATGAATGAAACAATCTCCCCCATATCTTTTTGGAAAACTTTTCCATAGCTTGGAATTTTACAAACTTTCAAGCCAGCAACATTGAGCGCAGAGGAACAAATTAACCAGGCCTCCTGGGCAAAATTGCCACCAAAAGTGACAAAAATGTAAATATTTTTAATATCTTCCCCCATAATGAGTTTTAAATAAAATGCTTAGAACAGTAACTTCAAAAATTTTAAAATACATCCAAAACCATTTAAATTTAGTACAATCATCACCATCCAGTATAGTTACATTACCATTCAAAAGATTTGTAATATTTCTAAAGTCTCTCATTCTCACCAAGACTGTATTTATTTGATCAAAAATACAATATATTAGTAATATTGTGAAATATTATTACAATAATATTATTTTAAAAAGTGTTTGATATAATAAAATATTTTAAAATCTAATGTATTCCTGCGATGGCAAAGCTGAATTTTCAGCATCATTACTCCAGTCTTCAGTGTCACATGATCCTTCAGAAATCATTCTAATATGCTGATTTGGTACTCAATAAACATTTTTGTGAAAACGATACGTTTTTTTCATGATTCTTTGTTGAATGGAAAGTTCAAAATAAGAGCATTTATTTGAAATGGAAATCTTTTGTAACATTATAAATATCTTTCCTGTCTTTTTTGATCAATTTGATGCATCCTTGCTGAATAAAAGTATTAATTTCTTTTTAAAAAATGCAAAAACAGTTTGAACAGTGCATTATACTCACTTATTATTGATTATACTCACTTATAGTATAAGTTCTATTTATAACTTGCCTGCAGCCAGAAGTGTAATTGCTCTCTCTTTCTCAGGATGATTCTCAGAGTTTGTTACAACCAGAAATGTACCATATCACTGTTCCATGTAGCGTTATTATGGACTCTGGACCCTCAGCAGAATCAGGTGCGTTCATTTCTCTTTTGTCTTGCTGCTGTCATTTCAAAGAGGCGTAAATCTGTGGACATAGACAGGGCCGTCGCAAGGGGGGTGTGAGGCCCTCTGGAATGGGGGGGTGTTGCTATTGTAACGAACACAACTTTCACACGCATCTAATGGACAGATAAACCAAGAGTAAACCTTATCATTCAGCTGAATGCTGCACATCATTTCAGACATAGCCTGAATGAGCCTGGATGTCTAGCGTATTTTCTTGAACTTCTCGAGTAAAATCTGTGGTTTGACCCATTCAGAGGCAGCCAAAATTAGAATTTAAAAAGCTCCCTATGAACTTGACAGTGCTTGCTCACTGACAAGAATGCGTAAGAATCAGTCACACGCACATTTATTTATTTATTTATTTATTCATAATTCATTACTGTTGGTCACCCTTTATGTCTGTGGGTTTTGCAAATATTTAACCAATGAAAAGTATTAAAAAGTGCTTGCGACTAAAACTAACTCAATCTTGAATGAAGTGCCGCACACACTCTGGACTGCTTCTCTCTGCTCGTTTGCAATGCAAGGATAAATAAAGAAAGAATGGTTGTTTGAATATGTACAGCATTTTCTTTACTCAGTAAACACTATAATTATTTGGTTATAATGTCTTTTAGCATTTGTCGTCAGTCATATAGCATAGCAAGTATAGTCTTAATAGCCTGTGCATAGCACTACATCTTTAAAAACATGAGATTTTGGCCAAGTGGCAGAAAAAAAAATGAGCAGCCATGTAGCAACAATAACTTTATAACCTGTAAGTTGATAAAAATGTAATGCGATGCACTGACTGCCTCAGATGCGGCCAAAGATGGACAAGACACATAGATGTCTGACATTCGCTGGTTAGAAACCTGGTAATTCCACTTGAGCTTGATTTTGGTAAAATGTTCACAAAATAATGACACATGCAAGTGTCTGACCATATACACAGCCACAATATCAGCTTTGACAACACAGTGTTCAATTATATAAAAAATACTGTGTTTTTTCCCATTTCCTGAGAAGTAGCGGATTTGAACAAGGCTACTGCATAACATATTTACCAAGCAGAATAATACAGCATCATGATACACACTGACTCACTATTAGCTGACTTTTAGCTAGCCTATTATAGTCTTTCAAAGGACAAAAACGTGAACTTTTAAACTATTGGCTTTATTCACTTTATTTTGGTGCGAGGCCCTGCAGAGGTGCAAGACCCTGTGTGGTCACACACTTGGCACAGCCCTTGCGATGGCTCTGGACAGAGATTTATTTAAACACACTCTCTCTCTGTTTCAGAGTACAGTCTAGAACCTTCTTCACCTGCCGGTGCAGCCCCAGCAGCTATGTACACCTCACCTGGGTCTATCGCTGCCCCTGAACAAGAGGAACCACCATCCACAAGCAGAACTTCTCCACCGCCCAGAGCTCAAACCACTGACCCAGTCTTACCAGGTACCACTGACCCTACGCCTAACCAGGACCGTGCCAGCGATGGTCCCACAGGTCAGCCCGGATCACCCCCGAATTCAAGCCCCACTGTTGACGTTCCAGCAGTGTCAATATCTGCAGTACAAACACTCTCACTCTTAGTACAAGCATCTCACTTAAAATCTGAGCAGCTACCAGAACCCTCTCCTCCGGCAGGGGTTTCTTCATCACCAGGTCGTCCCGCTGCAGCAGATGCTTCTGATGTGGGTACCACAGAGAAATCCCAGTCCAGTGCTGCCATATTCTGGACCAGATGTAATGAGGCTGGGTGGACTAAAGAAGTCTTCTCAGAGCTCGTGTCTCAGCTGAGCAGCCTAGGAGAAAGAGTGCAGTCACAGGAAGCCAGCCACCAAGGTGAGAACAGCCTTGATTCAGGCCAGTTTTGTGGAATATTTCAGGTTCAATACAAGTTAAAGGTGAAGTATGCGGTTTCTGCGCTACTAGTTTCACCTCGTAAACAACCTTTGCAAAGGCCTCTTTCACCCACGCTCTTCTGATTATTCTTATCCTTACAATATCTTATTTTATCCGGGGCTTGACGGTAAAGTGGCAAAAACTTGAGTTTAGAAACTTCAGCAAGTTCAACGTCTCGACTAAAATGCAAACATTGGATCAAATTCATCCATCTTATAAAAGCATTACCAATGTTTACTGTCCTCTTAAGGCCCGTTCACACCAAGAACGATAACTATAAAGATGACTATATTAGCGTCCACACCAGCAGACGATATCATCCGTTTATTCCAAGCGCACACTCGTCTGCCGCTTTAAACTCTCAAGCTTGTTATTGCTGATTGATTCTGATTGGCTGTCAATGTTTTTATCGTTCATCAGCAGCGTTTCTCTGTGCCTTTATAGCTGTGGTGTGGACTCTGCTATTCTTTAATATTGAAAGTGATTTTTAAAACTATATCTGTATCGTTATCTTTATAGTTATCGTCCTTGGTGTGAACAGGCCTTTACCCTGTTGTCTGTCTCTGTGTATTTTGGCAAGCTTTCGAATTTTGGCTTGCTGGTAACAAACCAAATCTGAATTTCTTTACCTATGTAATGTGTCAGCGATGGTCCCACACACTGGCTATAAAGCCTCTCTCTCTGTCTGCTAAAGTAGCCACAGTCCAAACTCTTGCTATAGGTTGAACTGGAAAGACATTGACTGATTTGAGCGGACCACACTAAATGTTTTTTAGTGCCTGGGAGGCTCAATGTTTACGCATTTTGGGGAGATAAACCCTTGAATGCAATACTTACAATAGTCAATGAATGATAATATGGGTTGAGAGAAGATATTTTAACAAAAAAATCTTATAAACATTGGCACCGATAGCCTTGTGGGCAGCGTGCTGACATACAGCGCCATTGCGCTTCAGGTGTCCCGTGTTCGAATCCCGACTTGAGGACCTTTCCTGACCCCCCCCCTCTCTCCTAATTCGCTTCCTGTCATGTCTGATCTGTCCTATCACAATAAAGACAAAAATGCCAAAAACAAACAAAAAAATATCTTATAAACTTCACCTTTATGCTAAATTGTCAACATTTGTGGCATAATCTTGCTATCAAAAACAATCATTTTTGACTTGTCCCTTCTATGACAAAAAATCTTGGTTACAGTTTGTAACTTAAAATGGAAGTGATGGAGGCCAATCCATGGAAGTTAAAATACTGTTTCTTTAGTATAGCAACAGGACATAATATGAGTGTTTACATGGTTTTAATGTGGGAATAAAAAGTGAACTGAACTTTTCTCTGTCGTTATATACCATTTTACAACTTTGTTGTTGCCATGTAACGCTTAAAACCTGAAAATAACCATATGATAGATGAGAACAACTTTACAGCTCAAATAATACACATTTTAACAGAATAATTAATGTAAATGAATGTAAAGTGATTAATGTAATTTAAATGAAGAGATCCACATTTTTGCTTTTAAATTCTCCAAAAATCTGCCACATTAACTTCCATTACAGGTTTCTCATCCTAATCGCGATTAGGATGAGAAACCTGTAATGGAAGTTAATGTGGCAGATTTTTGGAGAATTTAAAAGCAAAAATGTGGATCTCTTCATTTAAATTACATTAATCACTTTACATTCATTTACATTAATTATTCTGTTAAAATGTGTATTATTTGAGCTGTAAAGTTGTTCTCATCTATCATATGGTTATTTTCAGGTTTTAAGCGTTACATGGCAACAACAAAGTTGTAAAATGGTATATAACGACAGAGAAAAGTTCAGTTCACTTTTTATTCCCACATTAAAACCATGTAAACACTCATATTATGTCCTGTTGCTATACTAAAGAAACAGTATTTTAACTTCCATGGATTGGCCTCCATCACTTCCATTTTAAGTTACAAACTGTAACCAAGATTTTTTGTCATAGAAGGGACAAGTCAAAAATGATTGTTTTTGATAGCAAGATTATGCCACAAATGTTGACAATTTAGCATAAAGGTGAAGTTTATAAGATATTTTTTTGTTTGTTTTTGGCATTTTTGTCTTTATTGTGATAGGACAGATCAGACATGACAGGAAGCGAATTAGGAGAGAGGGGGGGGGTCAGGAAAGGTCCTCAAGTCGGGATTCGAACACGGGACACCTGAAGCGCAATGGCGCTGTATGTCAGCACGCTGCCCACAAGGCTATCGGTGCCAATGTTTATAAGATTTTTTTGTTAAAATATCTTCTCTCAACCCATATTATCATTCATTGACTATTGTAAGTATTGCATTCAAGGGTTTATCTCCCCAAAATGCGTAAACATTGAGCCTCCCAGGCACTAAAAAACATTTAGTGTGGTCCGCTCAAATCAGTCAATGTCTTTCCAGTTCAACCTATAGCAAGAGTTTGGACTGTGGCTACTTTAGCAGACAGAGAGAGAGGCTTTATAGCCAGTGTGTGGGACCATCGCTGACACATTACATAGGTAAAGAAATTCAGATTTGGTTTGTTACCAGCAAGCCAAAATTCGAAAGCTTGCCAAAATACACAGAGACAGACAACAGGGTAAAGGCCTGTTCACACCAAGGACGATAACTATAAAGATAACGATACAGATATAGTTTTAAAAATCACTTTCAATATTAAAGAATAGCAGAGTCCACACCACAGCTATAAAGGCACAGAGAAACGCTGCTGATGAACGATAAAAACATTGACAGCCAATCAGAATCAATCAGCAATAACAAGCTTGAGAGTTTAAAGCGGCAGACGAGTGTGCGCTTGGAATAAACGGATGATATCGTCTGCTGGTGTGGACGCTAATATAGTCATCTTTATAGTTATCGTTCTTGGTGTGAACGGGCCTTAAGAGGACAGTAAACATTGGTAATGCTTTTATAAGATGGATGAATTTGATCCAATGTTTGCATTTTAGTCGAGACGTTGAACTTGCTGAAGTTTCTAAACTCAAGTTTTTGCCACTTTACCGTCAAGCCCCGGATAAAATAAGATATTGTAAGGATAAGAATAATCAGAAGAGCGTGGGTGAAAGAGGCCTTTGCAAAGGTTGTTTACGAGGTGAAACTAGTAGCGCAGAAACCGCATACTTCACCTTTAACTTGTATTGAACCTGAAATATTCCACAAAACTGGCCTGAATCAAGGCTGTTCTCACCTTGGTGGCTGGCTTCCTGTGACTGCACTCTTTCTCCTAGGCTGCTCAGCTGAGACACGAGCTCTGAGAAGACTTCTTTAGTCCACCCAGCCTCATTACATCTGGTCCAGAATATGGCAGCACTGGACTGGGATTTCTCTGTGGTACCCACATCAGAAGCATCTGCTGCAGCGGGACGACCTGGTGATGAAGAAACCCCTGCCGGAGGAGAGGGTTCTGGTAGCTGCTCAGATTTTAAGTGAGATGCTTGTACTAAGAGTGAGAGTGTTTGTACTGCAGATATTGACACTGCTGGAACGTCAACAGTGGGGCTTGAATTCGGGGGTGATCCGGGCTGACCTGTGGGACCATCGCTGGCACGGTCCTGGTTAGGCGTAGGGTCAGTGGTACCTGGTAAGACTGGGTCAGTGGTTTGAGCTCTGGGCGGTGGAGAAGTTCTGCTTGTGGATGGTGGTTCCTCTTGTTCAGGGGCAGCGATAGACCCAGGTGAGGTGTACATAGCTGCTGGGGCTGCACCGGCAGGTGAAGAAGGTTCTAGACTGTACTCTGAAACAGAGAGAGAGTGTGTTTAAATAAATCTCTGTCCAGAGCCATCGCAAGGGCTGTGCCAAGTGTGTGACCACACAGGGTCTTGCACCTCTGCAGGGCCTCGCACCAAAATAAAGTGAATAAAGCCAATAGTTTAAAAGTTCACGTTTTTGTCCTTTGAAAGACTATAATAGGCTAGCTAAAAGTCAGCTAATAGTGAGTCAGTGTGTATCATGATGCTGTATTATTCTGCTTGGTAAATATGTTATGCAGTAGCCTTGTTCAAATCCGCTACTTCTCAGGAAATGGGAAAAAACACAGTATTTTTTATATAATTGAACACTGTGTTGTCAAAGCTGATATTGTGGCTGTGTATATGGTCAGACACTTGCATGTGTCATTATTTTGTGAACATTTTACCAAAATCAAGCTCAAGTGGAATTACCAGGTTTCTAACCAGCGAATGTCAGACATCTATGTGTCTTGTCCATCTTTGGCCGCATCTGAGGCAGTCAGTGCATCGCATTACATTTTTATCAACTTACAGGTTATAAAGTTATTGTTGCTACATGGCTGCTCATTTTTTTTTCTGCCACTTGGCCAAAATCTCATGTTTTTAAAGATGTAGTGCTATGCACAGGCTATTAAGACTATACTTGCTATGCTATATGACTGACGACAAATGCTAAAAGACATTATAACCAAATAATTATAGTGTTTACTGAGTAAAGAAAATGCTGTACATATTCAAACAACCATTCTTTCTTTATTTATCCTTGCATTGCAAACGAGCAGAGAGAAGCAGTCCAGAGTGTGTGCGGCACTTCATTCAAGATTGAGTTAGTTTTAGTCGCAAGCACTTTTTAATACTTTTCATTGGTTAAATATTTGCAAAACCCACAGACATAAAGGGTGACCAACAGTAATGAATTATGAATAAATAAATAAATAAATAAATGTGCGTGTGACTGATTCTTACGCATTCTTGTCAGTGAGCAAGCACTGTCAAGTTCATAGGGAGCTTTTTAAATTCTAATTTTGGCTGCCTCTGAATGGGTCAAACCACAGATTTTACTCGAGAAGTTCAAGAAAATACGCTAGACATCCAGGCTCATTCAGGCTATGTCTGAAATGATGTGCAGCATTCAGCTGAATGATAAGGTTTACTCTTGGTTTATCTGTCCATTAGATGCGTGTGAAAGTTGTGTTCGTTACAATAGCAACACCCCCCCATTCCAGAGGGCCTCACACCCCCCTTGCGACGGCCCTGTCTATGTCCACAGATTTACGCCTCTTTGAAATGACAGCAGCAAGACAAAAGAGAAATGAACGCACCTGATTCTGCTGAGGGTCCAGAGTCCATAATAACGCTACATGGAACAGTGATATGGTACATTTCTGGTTGTAACAAACTCTGAGAATCATCCTGAGAAAGAGAGAGCAATTACACTTCTGGCTGCAGGCAAGTTATAAATAGAACTTATACTATAAGTGAGTATAATCAATAATAAGTGAGTATAATGCACTGTTCAAACTGTTTTTGCATTTTTTAAAAAGAAATTAATACTTTTATTCAGCAAGGATGCATCAAATTGATCAAAAAAGACAGGAAAGATATTTATAATGTTACAAAAGATTTCCAT